TGGGGGTATTTCAGTTATTTTTCAAACATTTTATTTCTGAATTTAGCCTGAGTCTGAGTAAGTTCTTCTCTGATATTGCTCTATAACTGAAGAACTGTAAAAGACGTTCTCTCCTTTGGGCATCGTCATTTGGAAGGAAACATTCGGGAAAGAAACCTGATATCGCTTAATATGGTTATAGAACTTTGAAATGTCATGATTTTCCTACTATGCTGAACATTTCTGAAGGAATTAATATATTTTTTGATCTTTTTCTCTAGTTTTGCTTTCTAACACACAAAATAACACTTAGCCTGTAATAGTTTTATCTCAGAGATCTGATACCAACTCTTAAGTCACCAAAAAACAGGGCTGTCCACATTTAATTTCAATGCTGCCTCTGTTCCCAGGAAGCTAGTTTCTGCTGTAGCCAATTTTCTGCTCCTAGGATGTGCACGGGCATCAAGATTTGAAGATACCAGTTTCTTCCACCTTCATACGTAGGTGGAATTGAGTATTTCTACATATCTTGCTTTTGGAATCTACTCCAAAAGATGTAGTTTCTTGTAATGTTTACCAGGTCAACTCTTGAACAGAAACATGGTGAGGATAATATTGCTATGGTCTCTGAAGCTCTCTTTCCTGCTGGCTTAAAACAGTCACAGAAGGAATAATATATCTAGGTTCAAAGCATCCAATCTGATATGGAGCAGCATATGGACTGCTGATCTCCTGCCATCAAAGGAACTGCCATTATCACTGGGTTATTAGATACTCTGATGGAGGAAGGAAGAGGGATCTCTAGAGTAGTGAAATATTTCCCTTCAATAAAACAAACAAACAAACAAAGGGTGTAGATGGATACTGAATACTTATTTTACATAACTCAATCACTACACCATTATATGCAGATTTATTCCAGACAAGCCAAAATTAAATTCATACTCTCAAAAGCTCCTGTTACAATTAACAGCAAGATCACAGCCTAAGATCAGAATATCCTTCCAGAGAGAATTATATTACAAAATACGAAGTCTGAGATGATTATGTTCAGCAGTCAGATGCTGAAGATTAGATTTGACAATTCCAGGCTAACCTATACGACCTTGGTGCCAGTCAGTGCTCTAGTTAAAAATGAAATTATTTTACGCAAAATAGAAACACTCTATCAAGAGAGATGGAGTTAGCCTCAGTTCAGAACACTGACTATTCTAGTCCCCTGAATACTTTCTCAGGAGTTAGAAACTCTATGATCAATTGCTCTCCATTTCCCAGGGAAAAGGTGCACCACTGATTATCCAGGTATCAATGGTTTGCAGCTTACAAGAACCTTCCACATTCTCTTTTTTGAAAAAAAATTGCTTTGCTTGGGTATCTAACCAAAGGAGGTGGTTCACTGCTGTGAATCCAGACTGCAGAGAGTCATCTAGGCAACTCCATGACACTTCCAGACAGCACCTGGCTCAAAGTACAAGGGAATCATGTTCTTAGATCTATCTCTTCCCTTACAGTGCATAAGGAAAAGAGGTGACTGCTTGAAGTTACGGGGTGGGGTATCCAATAGCAGGAACTGGCACTGCTCCCAGTGTGCCTAGTGGAGAGAAAGACCTGATGAGGCCCCTGCTCTAAATCACTGTCTGGTGAGGTGCCTACCTTTTGCCATTGATTAGATAGGGAGTTCAGAGTTTCCATTACCTTACAAATATAGTATAGTCAGTGGACCCTAATTATTACTGAAATTTAGGGAGTGTGAATAGTTTGCCTCTCTCCTTTTAAGTCTAATTCCCACTTGTGGATTTAACCCTTCAACCTGAAGGGTAATAGATTAATACAGTACAAAGGTCTCTTAGGAAAGAAGTATGACTTTCACCATTTGAAAGCAATCCACATCTAATTCCTGACTGAATATAGCAAATTTATTCTACTGAAAACTTAGATGTCAAACTACCCAAGAGTTTCAAATAGTTTTTTGTTTTTTTTTAACTCTGCAGAAATCAAGAATTGATAGAGAGAAAAGCTATTTTTTCTAAAAGAATGGTGACTTGCTTACAGCCGAACACTTACTGACAGGTGAATCTGTCACACTATTAATCATTGCTCAGAGAAATTCTGGCAATACTGTGACAATATCAAAACATTAGTAATTTTTTAAAAATATAACTGCACACATAATTAAGTGGCTTCTTTGTTTGGGGTTTGTTCTTGGTATTTTATCTAAGTCTTGTCCTGCTCTGGTGACTTACTTAAAGTATAATGTATTCAACTTATAAATAAGAAATTGACTTTCTTGTTTAGTATATGAATTGGAACCCTAGGAATATGCCTATCTATGACCAGTTTTCCATTGTCATAAATTAGGATGGTACCACTAAGTTTCAACTACCCATTTTACTCCAAATCCACTAATCCATTAATTATAAGTATTTTTAACACATGCTCCATGTTCAGTAAGAAGAGTATGTGAGTTGTAGCATTTTATTGTGGCTGCAACACTGAAATATATGTGAGAAACTCCTACACTAAAACTGATATTCACAACTTAGTTCATAATTTCATATTGACGCTTTACTGCAATTTCCATAGACTTTCCTTGGTCTGTATCTTTACAATAACTGCAGCTTTAAAAAAACAAAGTTATAATGGTACATGTTTTGTAATGTAAAGTAAGAGTTTTACACCAAAAAAGTATCCCAGCACTCAAGGCATTATTTATTTTGAGGTAACTGACAAAAAGTGGTTTCACTATGCATCCATATAAACTATGCGTGACCTTCAAAAATCACTGGGAGACCAGGAATTCAGAACCAGAATGCATTCCCTGAACAGTGCAACTATTTGGATTAATTGCACTAAGAGACTTAATTTTGAAGGATTTGGGAATGTTTTTACAAGGGTTAGGAAGAATTTCATTAGGATTACATGATGAGCAAATTTGAGTGTGCTTAACTGTTCACATTAACTCTCCAGGCAAGGATGAAACAGATCAGTCATCCACTGCTTCTTAATTCTTATCCAAGATTTTGCCACCATAAAGGGAATGTCTTTGTAGTTCACTGTATATTTCAACCAGCCAAAACAAAACAAAAAAAACTATGACTTGAGCAAGAGTCTCAATCCTGATATTGTTCTTCAGACCACTGGATTAAGATAACAGTGTGTGCTTGTATTCTGCATTTTTCTGTTCTCTTGTGTTGCCTTCAAAAAAATCTAACTTTGCCATTTGGTCTAAACTGATACTCCATTTAAATTAGTCTATATTTGCCATAGGATAATACTCCTTGCCAACATCTTTTTTCCAAAGATTTATTAACTGCAAATTTAGCTGTGCACCAATGGTCTAAGACTAACACATTAATCGAACGGAGGAATTCCACATAGAACAAAGAGTTTGAGCAACTGGATTGTTATAGCTCTACTCTTGCAATTTCATGCCAAATACAACAAGGCAGGGAAGCAGGGCTTCCATATGAATTCTGGGAAATGCAATAAAGGATTGTATTCTTTTCATAATTCAGGAAAATCTGAATTTTTTGAAAAAAATGTTTGAGGTTTTTTTCCTATTGAGATCACAACTGCAATAACTTCCCAGGTATGTCAGCAAAAATATATGTTCAGTCCAGAGCACACTGTGACACTGTATGTCATTGTCTGAATGTAAATATTGCAAATGCACAATCAAATCAAGAAATGGTGCTTGAGAACACCACTGGGAAAAATAACAGAGGCAGCTGTGCACACAGCTACAATAACAGGACAAATTTATGAGCATATGTAGATTTACTCAATTTCTGTTTTAAAAATAGATGTTACCTTTCACTGCAGGTAACTTGCTATTATTTGCTGTTATCAATTATTATAGTACATATGCTATGATTTTTTTGATCCAGCAGCAGACAGGAAGTAAAAAATAGTCAAATGTTAAACTTACACTCAAGTGAGATTTATTTGCTTGTTTGTTTTTGAAATTTGCACATTTAATTACCTGCAGGAGAGATTATTTCTTGTGGACACTGCATTTTTCAAAGTCAAAATAAGGTGTGAACAACTATTGATGGAACTACCTGCCAAGAACTGTTATTTAATAAAGAACCCTGAAATAAATTTAATGAAAGCTTTTATTTTGTAAGCAATCCATCAGCCTCCTTTTAACACTTGCATCTTAACAGAATTTCTTCCCTTGTAGCCTGTTGTGAACTGTAATGTTGAAACTGAATGGCAGCAACTGAGATTTCCCGACTCAAGGAATGACTGCCACAAAAGCAGCTAAGATTATTCTACTTGGAACACTGAAAACACACAGTTGCGTGTTTCTGTCTTGGCTGTACTACTATATAATTAAAAAAACTGTATCAGCAACAGTTCTGCCCAACAACTGTTCCTCATTCAGCTGCTTTTAGGCACTTTTACCTAAAAATATCCTGATTTTGAGTTCAGCATTGGGCATTTGTTTCAAAGTGCAAAACAGTCAGATTAGTGTCTCTTACAGTGTTATTACCTCTCTTCTTTTTGCTTCAAATGCATTCTTAAAAGCTTTTATTAAAGCAAACGCACAAATATTTACCAACCACCACCAAATGCTGTAATACAAAGCTCACCAATGACAGCTTGTATGTACCTGGAAATCAACTTTTAGAGGAATAAAAGTGCATGCAAAAGGAGAGTTACTGTGGAATCTCTAGTTAAAGTTTATTGTTTACATGAGTGGATAAAGGGCTAGAGAACCGTAACAAATGGATAGTATTGGAGCTTCTGATGCACCTGCAGAATTAGATGTGGAATTGAAAACCCAATCTGCTGTAACACACTGCACAAACCATCCACTGAAAAATATCCAGTTATAAAATCCCTTATAATGAAAAACATTGCATTTGATAGTTAAGTAACAGAAATTGTTATTGTCTGTACTTTTAAGGTGCCTACATATGAATACAGAAACCCAAGTTATGCATTAATTTCTGTGTTGGAAGAACAGTAAGGCAGGACTCAAGGGCAGCAGAAAAATCAGTCCGAGTTTCACATACCGTATTGGAACGTTGGTGATTTCTGCTCTCTGATGAGCAAGCTTAATTCTCTGGCTAACGACTGCCTTGTTGTTTTGATCTAGAAAGATCACAGCAAAAACATCACTGCGAAAAAGAAAAAAGGCATTTGTAACAAAGGGTAGCATACTCAACTTCAGTAGCACGCCTGCATTCACAGTTTTATTTCAGCAAACATAACTACTTTAACCTCATATAGTCACTTCCTTACAGGAAAAAAAAAAAAAAGAGATTTATTCTTTTAGGAATAAATGCATTTAGATTGAACCCAGATAACAGACTGGATATGCAGTGTTTATGTAACAAACAGTATTAGTTGAGACTACCCTCAAATGCAAGTTCCCTCAATTTTGTTAAGAGCTTGTGGAGTTTATGATGTCTATTCTTACTTCAAATGAAGCAGGGAAGGAAGCATTTACCTCGTGTAAACGTGGACTGAGTGCAAAAACCTATTAAATACTGACTTTATAAGGCTGAAACTTCGAGCTGTGCATTAAGAACGTCTTGAAAGAAGGTGGACTTTAAGAGTGGCTTAAATACCAGAAAGCCTGTGATAGCTCATTAGGTATCAGAGGGCATTAAAAGTTCACACTTAAGAACAAAATGAAGATACCGTGCCTTCCCTGAAGTGTCTCACAAAACAATGCTGTTTGATTAGGGCTCCCGTCCACACAAAGGGCCGTCCAAGCTTAAAACACCAGCTGGGCGGCACTGGAAGAGAACTATGCGGTGGGTTAGGTCAGTCTCACCTCACTGACCTCTTCCGGTCCGGCAACAGCAGCCATACCCGCACCGACCCACCCTCACCTAGCCCCGCAGCTGCAGCCCGCCTGCCCGCGGAGCCCTTCGGGGCACGGTTTCCTTCTGTCAGTCTAGGCCTGAACTCCCTAGGGACCGTAAGCGTCCCCGACTTCCCCGCTGATACTGGCCCAGCGCTCACCCGGGCGGAGGCGGTCCCGGCGAGGCAGCACCGCCCCCGAGCCAGTGGCAGATTTGAAGGGAAGAGGCGGGAGGCGCCGAGTGCCGCGCCTGGCGGTACCCTGCGGTTATGGTGGAGGGCCCGGGCTGCGCGCTCTATGGCGAGAAGTTACGGGCCCGGGTGCGGCGGGACCAGGCGGTGCGGAGCGTGCGGTGTAGCGCTGTGGCAGCCGCGGCCGGAGCTGGTAGCCCGGTGAGGGACCGAGCGCGGTGAGGGAGAGGCGCTTCCCCTCAGGGGCAGCGCCGAGCCAAGCCGGGCCGGGGTCGCAGAGCTTGGGTCCCCGGGTGTGCGCGGCGGTGAACGCTGCCGGGTTTATGGGAGAGGACTCGAGTCTGGGAGCAGGCAGTGGGTGGGGGGTGAGAATGCGGGGCCAGAGCAGGATGGCCGTTGTGGCCGACATGGCTGCTCCTCCTGCTTTCCGGCAGCGGCGGGGCTCCTGCTCCCCGGGTGGGCTCCTGCTCCCCGGGTACCCTTCGCTGGGGGATCGTCCGTAGGTACAGTCTTAATTCGTATTTTAAATTATTAAATATTCTTATCATCATAACAAACAAGGTCGGTTGTGTAATGGGATACTAAGCTGTACAAACACAGGGGCTTTTGGAAATAGCAAGGGAAATGTTTTAGAATCACTCTCATTCACTTAGAGTAGATTTTAAATGTCATTTAGTGTCAGGAAACCTACAATAGAAGGAAATTTATAGTAGCAGTTACTAATTTTAATTTTTCTCATAAGTCTTCACAAGTCTGAATGACATGAGGTGGAGAAGGTACATGTTGGGCTGCAGAGAGGGAGGGTTTACTTCTATGACTATTTTTTTAAATAATTTTAATTAGACCAACTATTTAAATAAATGTGGCACCTGGTCTCAGTGCACACAGGATGTAATGTTGGTACACCAATCTGCCTTGCACTTAGGGATCCCATGACAGTGAAGATAGTGCCTGCAGGTTTCAGCAGGGGCTGAACAGACCTGGGGACCTCAAGGTTCTCTTTGTCATGGGCACCTTTACAGGCGCAGCGTTTGCAGGACATGCAGAGTCCTGCACCTGGAACAGAATATGTCATGCAGTGGCACAGGCCTGGCTGCTGATCAGGTGGAAAACAGCTCCACGTATTAAAGAGGCTCAGACCAGCTGAGACTTGCCCCTCCAAGGAAGACAGCCTGCCCTGTACTGGACTGTGCTAATGATGATGTAGCCAGCAGGCTGAGGACAGTGATTCTTACCTTTGCTCAGTACTTGCAAGGCTGCATTTGGATTACAGTGACTTTGGAGTACATTCCAACTCCCCACTAGGAAAAAGTAACATGCTAGAGTGAAGCCCCTGGTATGATTAGCTGGCTGAAGTATATAGTGCTGAAGAAGCTGATAGAACTGGGTTTTACTGCTCTCTTCAGCTACCTACAAGGAGGATGCAGAAGAGACCGGGCCAGACTCTTGTCAGAGGTGCAGGTAGGGTTAGAGACAACAGATACAAGTGACAACAGGAGAATTTCTGATTAAGTTGTGGATGAAAACATTTCCTAATACAATAGTCAAGTCTTGGGACGAGGGCCCAATAGAGTGTCTATTCCTAGAGCCACTCTGAAGTTGACTCGAGCCACTCTGAAGTCGACCTAAGGCTGCCTGATGTAAGACAGTCCTGCTTTGAGCCCCCAGTGTTTGGACAAGATAATCAATAGTGGTCCCTTCTTATGATTTCAGTGGAGTTTCATGTGCTAAGCAAGAAAAAATCATTGTTTCCATCTCAGAATTATCTTTTTCTTGTCCTCTTTTAGCATTCCACCTCCTGTTCAACATCATCTGAGATTAGACTTTAAACTAGTAGGAAGAGAGAAGTATCTCTGTCAGCTCAGCAGTAGCTTTTCTGTAATATGTATTGCGCCATGTGAAACACTGAAAGCATTATTAGCATGGGTAGAAATTCCAGCAGGAGGCATTTGGAGAAGGATGTAGGCCAGCAAATGGCAGAATTGATACTGACAACTAGTGTTTGAACTGTACCTGTTTAATTTGCATCAGCCTTAAAGTCTTCTTGTAAATTCATTACTTGAAGGAAAAGGCATAAAATTCACTGATAAAAAAGATGTATTGTTGCAATTCAGAAGAGAAGGAGCTGAGTTGGGATAGTATGAGCAACAGTGACTCTTTGTTTCCTGAGTTAACAGTCTCATGGGTTTTGGTAGAGTTGCTTGAGAAGAGAAGGTCTAATGTTCAGGATGGAAAAATCAGCAATTTGGTGAATGTGTACTAATGCTAGAATCAAAGCAGTATAAATTCTGTTTTAATCTGTGTGTGTGTGTGTTCATTTTTAGACTGCTGCAAGCAAGGAGGGAACCTCTGGTCATGATTTCCTTGTTGGACATGTTTACAGGGGTGTGGAGACATTGGGAAAGGAACTTTTTATGTATTTTGATCAGAAAGCTTTGAGGTAAGAGGAGAGAAAAAGACTTCCTGTGCGTTCAGACTATATGTATTCATGGGTCATCTTGTTCTTGCTGAAGTCACTTTCAGAGATTTGAAAATTAGTGTTATCAAGAAACTTACCTGCAATCTTCTCTCTGTAATGCTGGAAATAATAGATATAGCCACTTACCTTTTTGGATAATCTACTACTTTATTCTTAGCCTAAAATTCCAAGTAACAGTGTCTGAAAAGGACAATTAATCCCTGAAATGCTTTGTTTCAAGCAGGAAATTGCATTTTCTAAGGACAAAACTCAGAGAAGTGCATGAAGTAACAGTTACTTAATGTCTTCCACTACAAGTTCTACTTGCAAGTCTTTCTAACTTTCCTTAAGAAATTTAGGCTTAAATTCTGTACTCAACATTAATCAGAGCAACTGAATCATGAATAAACCAATGTGGAAAAAAAAAAACAAACCAAAACCAACTTAGTATTCAGTATGTATACATTTATGATTACTTTCTTGCTTGCTTTCTTTCAACAATATTAACATCTCCTTGGTTTGGAACTGTGAATTTGGCAGATGAATGGTTTTGGTAACGAGTGTACTTTAACTTTTTTGTGAAGCTGTCTCCTAGACAAATGGTAAAAACTGCCAAATCATTGTTTGCTTATGCTTTGCAGAGCTTATTACGAGTTTGTTGGCATGTTTAGGATTTTGTTCAATGCTTTAAGCCGTTGGACATGTTGTACTAGCCACCAGGGTTGTACTTGGAATCATCTAGATTACTTTTTCTATTTCAGTATGCTTCTGTAATGCAAAGTCAACTAAAAATAAATCTAACCAAATGCACAGTATATTGGATTATGAAAAAAAATCCCCTCTCATTCTTTATGGTAATTAATACAGGATACATAAGTAAGACTCTTACAAGACTTCCATTTAAGGGTTTTCTTTTACCCTTCTACTTGCAACATAATTCTAATCTTTCTAACTCTGTTACATCTTTTTGTACCTACAAAATAATCCTTATTTTCTGATATACTATGTATACAAGTAGGACAATCTCTTACAGTTTTTTTTATGGCTTGAATGTAACAGGTGAATTTGTAATAAATAAAATGCATGAGGCCATAGTCAAACTTGTCCTTTGCTCACGTATACTAGCTCCTAGTAGGATATATCATAAAATGTAAGACCTTTTAAAGCATTAGTGACCAGTAGGAGGAATGCTTGAAAGAGTCTGTTCCACTCCTTTGCCCTCTGGGCATTTTTCAGTTTCTTTCTTATATTAGTTTTTAATTGACCTGCAGGTTTTGCCTTGGGTGTAGGCAAAGAAAAGCAGAAAACAACATATGGCAGATGTTACTTTGTTTATGGTGTTATTGGAAGTAGCTTTGATATGATAAAAGTGTTGGCAATTAAGGGACTGAAATCTTTCCTTTCATACAAGGTAACTTCTGCCAGATTTAACTGAAAATTTTCTGGTAAAGTAGCCTCATTTCCTTCAGCCTCCCTGAAGACTTAAGAACCTGTGTTGGAAGACCAGCATGTCAAGTGGAAAAAATTCTAAGTGTGATACACCAGAAAAGCATGTTACTTAATGATCAGTTTTGGTTTCTGTTTAGTGAATTTTGAAGACCACTGGAAAACTGCTATGTTTTGGAGTAGTTTTGACTTGGGAAGATTTTTCTCTGGGAATTGAACATTATGTAAGCAAGTAGTTTGTTGCTGTGTTACTCTTAATGGCTAGAATTAATGTACATACATACTGACTTGGTTAGGTAAGAACAGTTTATAACTTCAAACATACACTAGTGTGATGCTTGGAAACATTGTGAAGATAAAATACCTGTAAGAACTCTCTTTTCTCTCCAAGGATTCACTTTGGTATGAACGGTTCCATGTGCATTAATCCCAATGGAAGCAAAGGCAGAAATGCAGCACTACCAGTTTTGGAGATACAGCTTACAGAGGATATTGTTTGTTTTTTCGAGGTGACAGTAGAGTATAGGTAAAGCAGAAACTAACCAAATTAAACACAGCTTGGTTTATTTTTACGACATTCTTTTAAGAACATAGTGAAAAATCACACACAAATTTAGTGCTCAGATGCCATCATAGACACAAAGAAACAAAGCTTTCTAAATATTGGTATGGTAATTTAATTTTGCTACTTTTGTATCAGAATTTACATATGTTTAAAGTATTTCTATGCAATAGCATCAAGACTGCGAATAAGTCCGTTCTTGGATCTGAATGCTGAACCCCATTGCTCCTTTAATTTCCATGCAAGTCTCAATTCCTTAACAAGAATAAGGACCTTTGATGATTACTAGTTTCAGATTTTATGCTCCTAAGGGTGTGTGTTTACGTTTGCTTTCTTTTTGGAAGCAAATTGATATAATTGTTCTAATTTACATTAAGTGCACGTTTTTGACCATCAGCATTGGTACTTCTCACTGCTAATAAAAATAATAGCAAGCTTGATTTTAAAGCATTTGAGGCTCTTTGGGGAAAAGGACCATGTAAATTCAAGTATCATATATATATGCATATTTAATATTACAAAATAAAAGCTTATGTAAGCCTGAGACTTCTTTTACTGTACTGTTTTCAAGTGACTATGTAACCTGGTAGAGTTAAGGTTTAAGAAACTATTACCTTTTATTGTCTTCTAGTAACTATTGGACCATGTAACCATACAGTTAGTTATGTTTGATGGTCCAAATGCATAGTCTTTCCATGTTGGTAGTAGTTTTAAAACAAGGATCTGGCAATTATTTTTCAAACTAATATGAACAAAATGAGAGTGTTTTCTTGTATGCTGGATCAGATGAATGTTCCTTGCATGCATCACTTACCTGTTTCTGGGAGGGGTGGTTAATGTAATTTCTGTGCCTCTTCCTGTCACTGGTATTTGCAAGATTTCTGTTATCTGCATATAATGTTCTATTATACTTTCATGTGTTGTTTTTAAAATCATACTGCTATGTTAGCATATAATTGAAATAAAAATAAATCTTAATGTATTATTCTCTTCCAGAAATGCAGCTGAGAGTGAACGGAAAGTGAGAATGATGGAAAGCTTAGATGTCTGTTCTCCAAAATTTAGTTTCCTAAGAGCAGAAAGTGAGATTAAGCGGCACAAAACCCTCATGTTGTGTGATGTGTTACTGGATCAAACAGTATTACCTGGAGTGGGAAATATAATAAAAAATGAAGCACTGTTTGACAGTGGTCTTCATCCAGCTGTTAAGGTGGGTGAAATGTCACAAGATTGCTTTTAATGACACCAAAGTATTGAGAATGTACATACTTATTCATATAACATTTTGTCATCTTCTTACCTTGGTTTTATGATCTGTCATTTTTCAAGTTATTTTAAGACATTAAATTAACATTTTATCATTATAACTGGAGACATTTGCAATGGCAGTCCTTGGAAACTGTTGCTGCTACTCATGCTTCACAGAGTGGGCATATTTTGTGGGGCTAAGCATTCTCTATTACATCTTGAAATCTCTCCTTAGCAGGGAATTAATTTAACCTTAAAATCCTGACTTTGTCTGGCATCCTATTTTGCTATCATTAAATTGTCAGCCTATAAATAAAGTGAAAAGTGCTTTTGTTTTCTTTGTTCAGCTGCTAGCCGAAATAGTTTATGTGGTAGAGTTGATTGGTTTTGCTGCTGTTTCTTCCACTTCCTGTCTTGCTAGCTGGCATAATTTACTTTTCTACCATTGTTTAACATTCTTTCTTTATTAAGATCCTCAAACATGGATCTCCAAAGTTTGGTTGAAAAGAAGCCCGATGTTTACAGAACAGATTGACATTACATAGTACATAAAGAAAAGCTGGTGAAGATAGTAACTGGAAAGCTTTATACACATAATATTTTGAAAGCTTTTCTTAGGATCAGTCAGGATTTTAGTTGTATCTGCAACGGGAACAAAGGAAACAAAAATGCAATTTCTTAACAAAAATTGGATTGATATATCTAATTGTGATGCCTTTGGCTCAAGTATTTTTCCTGAAGATTTTTTGCAGAAAAGAGCCTCTGATGATAGACAGCTTGTATCACAATCCATGAGTAAATTAAGAGGCAACTAAGAGTTGTTAACTTCACATAATTCCTGTGATCAGAAACTCTTAGGTCAGTATAGACAAAGACAACTGAAACTTTTATTTAATGTTTTGTGTCACAAAGCATGAGCTAAAGTGCGTTGCTTGGTATTTACATAGTGAGTTTGTATAGTATAGAATGACTAAACATACATTTTTACTGAGGTGTTATATATCAATGTGAAGTCAAAGAATTACCACCACAGGAGTCAATGCAGTTCCACATAAGCTGGAAGTGTTTGAGGTACCCCTGCATTATAGGTCTTTCTGCTGTTGTCCCTTGGCATTCTAATATTCTAAAAATCATTTTTGTCTTACTTACAGGTTTGCCAACTGACAGATGAGCATATACATCATTTGGTGAAAATGACACGTGATTTTACCATGCTTTTTTATAAGGTATTGGCACATGTTTCTGAGGAACCTCCAAAACTTGACTCCAGCATGTTAGCTGTATGTGATCAACTAGTGAAAATAGTCATAAGATGCAACAGGACAAGTGTTTCCATAAATAGGAATGTTGGTTTGTGTGCTCTCTATTAATTATGAATTGTCAAATGATGGAAAGGTAAGGGAGTCTAGGCTGTAAGAATATGCATAGCTTGGCCCAGTTGCAGCAGAAGAGTTTGATAGATGCAGCCTAAGGGCCAGTTCAGTTTCACTGTGCATGTGTTGTAATGCAGCTCTGAACATGTCAAACTTGCTGTAGGTTAAGCACACATTTACTTGTAAGAGAACGTAAAGGTCACTCTTCAAACCGGGAACTAGAGTTTGCCACTTGCAGTATATTTATTTGAGTGAACAGATTGTAACTTTCAACAACTTTTTTTTCCTAACTGAAGCAATATTTTTGGTTGCTAAAGTAAAATAAATTCCAGCTTCTCCCTACTGCCACAACTTCAGTAGGATTTAATTTCTTCCATCCTGGTTGCTCTTTACTTTCCAAAATAGGAGAGAGAATTTGACAGAATTCTTGTATATTTTTCTTCTTTAAGCTGCATGCAAAGAAATGAAAAGGAGCAATGAAATTCGTGTCTGTTTATCTTGGTACTTACGAAAGGCAAGGAGCTAGTGCTGCTAAAAATTATTTTTTTGATAGGCTAGAAGGAGGGCACCTGACTTCCTTAATACCATCTTTCAATCATAAAGGCTAAACACATAATTTAATAGTCTGCTTAAATGTCTGCTTTCCCCCAACCTACTGAAGAGTAGTTTAGTCTGTTGGCTAGGCACATCTTTTCGTTCTCCAGGCTTAACTGAAGTCTGACAGTGAAGAGAGCATTCTGCAACAACTATAGTACTAGGAAATTTAAATGTGTCAACAGTCTTTTAGACTGACAATAAACAAACACATTAAACTTTCTGTAGCTCAGATTAGCCATTTTAAAAACTTTTATAATCTATATTTTAGCAAGTATTCACCAGCCAAGTGCTTTTAAAGGATAGTCATCACCCCCCCACCAAACCTCTTTAAGATAAACCCAGTGAAAATAGGTTAATACAAGGGGTAGTGCTTGATCATTTTTTATAGACTATTACAGAATGTATAATCCTACTATATTGTTTGTAGTAACACCTTACAGATGCAGAGCTGAGGAATCTTGTTTATGTAAAAAGCTGTTGCTTTTGTTTGTTTTTTAAATAACTGGATGGGAGAAAACTACTAATAAGAAACTAACTGTAAACCTTGAGGAGAAAGCAAACTGCTTGTGAATATTAATGTAAATATATGTTAGTAATTCCTTCTGGTTGAATTACTAGATTGTACTGGTGAAAGCTTTCTCATTCAGCGAGGCTTATTCAAGAGCACAGCAGAAGCAAATATGCTGTGCTCAAAACTCCCTGTATCTGGGGAGAACTCAAGGGTCATTGTGCATTATGGAGCTGGAGCCACTGAGCCCTGCCAGAGCTGGGCTGGTATTGCTGGGCCAGCTGTAGTATCATTTGAACTTCAGGTGTAGTGCAGGAACTGGTGTGGCTCTGCAGAGTTGGCTGCAACTCAAGTGGGCTTTTCTTGTTTGGTTTTGTTTTTATTGTTGCTTTTCTGCCAGTTTTAGCTGAGGTATGTTTATGCTGATGTCATGTGAGTTTTGTCATGAAATGTACCTGCTTGTCAGCCCTCTGGAGACTCTCTAGGTCGCTGTGCCCTTTGGGCTTCTACTGTACTGAATTCAATATGATTTTCTTCCAGGATCTGGGGAGCTTTCTATAGTGCCAAGTGGCTTTTCATGAGCCAACTTCTCTGGTATGGCCAGGGCTAAGGCTGAAGCTGAGCAACTTTACTGGGTGCTACCCAACTCCTGCAGAAATACTGCAGAAATGCAGTACTCCTGCATTGTGCGGTTCTTTAGGTTTTTGGGAAGGCTGCTCAACCCAGATTGTTGCATAAGGTCTGAGCTGGCTCTGTGGTGTGGTTTTGGCTCTTTTTCAGACAAGGGAAGGTGGTGGTAGTTTTGTGGCTTATGTTTGGTTTAATTTTGTTTTCTATGCTGCATTGGCTAGAGCTCATCAGCTCCTTAAGAACACTCCTGCAGGTGCCAGGTCAAAGATGGCTTCTGCTAAATCAAGCTAGCTGGTCCAGCTGAACACAGGGAGTCCCTAGCATGTATTTGTTTTGTATTCTGTGGGTTTTTTTGTATTCTTTTAATCCATTATGTGGAGAATTCTAGCCAGTGTTATACCTGATTTAAAGTAAACTCTTCGTAAAAGAATATGATAGCCATTGTGAATGTGCCTTAAATATCTTTATGTAGTCATTAAGCTGTCAGTTTACTTGTTTCTGGGTTGGTTTTGTTTTTTTTAATTTTAGCTTCAGTTGAACTGTAGAAGGACTGACATAAAATTTATATTTGATCTCTGACTTGGTTTTTAAATATGTTCTATTTTAGTGCCGCAAAACAGGGTCTCCACTCTACAAACACTACAAAGTATACAAGCGCCCAGCCTGTGCTCAGTGCAATGGTAAGATCACTGTGTGTCGTTTAGGAGAGAATAACAGGATGACTTACTTCTGCTCTGGATGTCAAAAGGCAGATCCTCAACTTGTCAATCTAAGGTATGATGGTAACTTTGTAATACTTTTAAGCATCAAATGCTTAAGCACCTCCAAGTGCGTTTATCACTTCTCAAATAGAATAAATCCTTGTGCATTTTATTTCTGATTTTCTTGACTTTACGAAAGAAAAATGTTTTGCCCATTGTCATTTAGAAATGGTTAAAAGCTTCGATTCTTTAATACTTTTCCTTTCAAAGGGCACATCTGTTATTAAATGGTTGTTATTTGAATGTAAGAATAAAAAAACAATTCAGAGTACTCAGAATTACTCGCTGCTGCTGGAAAAACTGCCCCTTTCTTGGTGCTATCAATATAATAGGCTTGGATGCTTACGCACAACTGAGTTGAACGGCATAAGGTGGGTTATTTTTTGTCTCTATTTCTTTTCATAGGATAGCCTCTTCAGTTCTCAAATATCTAGATAAGTGTGCATCTGTGGAATTTTGTTCTGGATGAGATTAACTAAAACTTCAGTAAATTCAGAGTGCAGCAAATATTGTAGGGCTTAGGACTTTCTGGGGTTTTTGTTTTCCTCTTTATTGTATTTGGAAAGCTTTTACTACAGGTGTGCCACAGGGGCACTTTCAGTTCCACATAAGTTGTGCTAGCAGCAGATTTCCTTCATTTATTTTAGGTGTGCACAAAATGCATTTGATATCACAAAGGGTCAGAAGGTAAAAATTCCAAAAGCACCTTATTGGGATTCTTATACCCTAGTTATTCTTGAAAATTTTCATCTGAGGTTTCAGAATCTTGCCTTTTTACACTGAGCTTTGTCAATCTAATAAAAGCCATTGCTTTGCTTTGCAAGCTCTGTGTGTGTGTGTGTGTGTATTAGATAAGATTTACAGAACACACAAATCCCTCTCCCACCTTCAGCCTACTTTGAAGATTCAGATGGCTGAAGGGATTTTGGTTAAAGCTTAAAAATCACCTTTGAGTATAGATCAATTGTAGAAAATACCAGCATGTGAGATAAATATTTCACATGCTGATAACCTCAATGAGCAATGTTTTGCAGAAGGGTGGGAAGGCAGCAGTGTTCTGTTGAGTCAGATAACTAGAAAATGATGCAAGTTAAAAAAGATCTCTTTCTCTGTTCTAGAACAAGTAGTAGTTTGGGGTTTTGTTGTTTGTGGTGGTGGTGTTTCTTTTGGGTGTTTTTTAACAAATAATTAAACAGTGGTATGCTTCATTGAAAAACTTAACAATGGTAGCTATAAAGTGAAAAGGTTTCTTGTGCTGTTCTCATCCTAATGGTAAGCTCTTTGTGTTCTACTGCTCTGTCTTCTGTTATGCAGTAACTGTTACCAAATAAAAGTATGTGTAGCTCCAGTGGTTTATCTGCCATTTCAAGCTTTTCATGTTTGAAGGCTGAAAGGAACCTGTGTGATCAAACTGACTTGCTACAGATCATAAAGTGTAGAATTTAACCCAATGGTTCTTGGATAAAATCAAGTAGCTTATGATTTTTCTCAACTGAAAAAAAATGAAGAAAATACTCATTATAAGCTTATACCTCATCAAATCCAAATGTATCTTGAGTCTTAAAACCACCACACACCCCATATTTCATGTTCCAAAATGGTGAGAAGGATGGTAGGATGACACTGTGGTCACACTGGGAGGATGACATGCTGAACATATTCAGTCTAGTAATACATTTTTGGTAACTGAATAGAACATCTGATCTAATAATGTAAAAATACCCATTTTTCACACTTCCAGTTCAGCTGTTTTGTTATCTAGCCACAGTATTTTGGTGAAGGATACTGTAATGTCTGCTTTACCTCTTGACAGCATAGCATCTCCGGTATGTCAGCAGTTCTCATTGCCCTCTTTAGTTTTCCTGCTATGCAAGATATGTAGTAAGTAGTGGATATCCTTCCCATTATCTTAGAAATGTAGGCTGTTAAAGGTCTAAGTTGTATCGCAACAGTTCCAAAGTATGGCATTTGCATTATTAAGTGCTTAAATTCTTAGAATTAGAAAAAAGCCCCCCCCCCCCCCCCGAATGTATAAATCCATAAAAAATTATCAACCGTAGTATTTAAAAGCTTACATATATCTTCCTTAACAGGAAAGTTCAAGTTAAATTTACTGCGCTAACAATATTTGAATACTATGACAAAATGCAGCGTCTGCAAAATGGTAACTATGATTGTATATCAGTGTATCGCCATAGGAAGTATTATAATTAACAGGGAAATAAATAAAATTAAATCTGTAGGAGTGTCTGGAGTACAGATTTGGCTTACCGGTCACAGCTAGGAGATTCCGGAACTCTTTCTGATCAGGACTAAAAAATCCACAAAACCACCACCAACAACAAAAAAAGAAAATACTTTATTCTGAGTGGACTCCTACATTTTGAAAAGTTTTCTAGCAAATGGTGATACACAAGAAAGACTTTCTAGACTTTCTAACTTTTAAGGTTTTAAGTTCTGTTGGTTGTTACAATAACAAAGTGGTCTAATGGACACCATTTAAATGAGGGCAAACCAATTTGTGTGCTAGGTTGTGTGACTTTCTGTAGTTTAGCTTCTGAACAGTTCTTTGTCCAAAAATGCATTTGTTCATAAGCATTCTATACAAGGGTTGGGAGAAATGTACTGAAACAGTTCTTCCAACCCTAACCATTCTATGATTTTATGATTTAAATATTTATATTTACTAAGGCAGCATTGGGAAAGATTTGCCCTGGAGGTAAAGAAGAAAAAAAAATCAAACTCTAACCGTGACATGCTGTCCAAGCTCTGATAGGCAGGCATAACATTGTGTATTACTTGTTCTCCAGCCCTGTGCCTCCCTGCACATAGTGGTATAAGACAATTTGTAGAAAAAATGTCACAAAAGACTAACGTCGTTCTTTTGTTTTACAGCAAATTGCCAACTAGAAATAGCCTAATTGGCTGGGCATATGGCAGAGGGTCATGTTCTAATGAAGATGTAGCTTGGAAGTCCGAAGAGGAATGGACGTGCATGCGCTGTACCCTGATAAACAAGCCTTCTGCTGAAATTTGTGATGCCTGTTTGACTTCAAGGCCTGAAGGTATTGAAAGGTTGTCTGGAATTTGTACTGGAAAAAGGGGGAGGATTTGGTTTTGATGCGGTTTTTAGAACTGTAAAAGTGCCTTATTGTGAATATATTTAAGTAATTAGCTAACTTAAATTTGTATTTTGGGGAAATATTTCACAGACAATCATAGAAAACCTCTTTTCTTAAAGCCTGAAAGAGGCTTGTCTTTCCACTTTGTGTTCAGGTGGGACTCTATAGAAAAGCCTCTGCAGTGACCCTTTTATTTTCAGGGGCAAGGAGTGAGACAAAACTCTATTCTCTCAACTCTACTTAAATTCATTAGATGATTGCAGCATATTGCAGAGAAATCCCCAGAGGCAGAAAAGCAATTATCATTCTGTCATGTGGACAAAAGCAGCATATTTTGGTACCCTTTCCAAAAGGATGTCACGTTTCTCAGGAGCTAGGTTTTTGGCTCCAAGTTCAGAGTAAGGATGATTTGGGACTTCTTACCTAAACTTGTTGTTTCTCTCTTGCTGGAGCTTTTAATGCTGCTCTCTAGATCTGGTGGACAGAAGCAGCTATGAATGAGACCCAAAAATGGGCAGAAAGATGGAATGAATAACGTGCTGACTTCAATACAGATTTCTGTATTGAAATTTTGGATATTAAGAAGGGATGAGTGAGGTTATGGACACACTTTCCACTGAGACCTGTTTTCTCTGTGAAGAGGAGCTTTGTATTCTTTTGCACTTTCTGTAGAAAAAAGTGAGTGAATCCTGTGGAAGAATTTAGAGGAAGTTATCTGCATCAAGACTGTTGCTCTGAAGCACGTTTAATTGCTACGTGCATTCCAAGAAACAAGGCCTAGAGGCGTGCATGTGTGTGGCTTTCCGGGATAAAGCTAATTCTATAGCAATTCCATACTGAAGCTTTTCTACCTCAAAAACTATTACTTATTTCACATTAGGTGGATTATTCAGTAAGTGGCTGAAATTTGCATACTACAATTTAGTTCTTAATTTTTCTATCTCTGGTGCTACAAAACTGAAAGAAAAGATATTTGGAAACAATATATAGGCATTTTGTATCTGAGAAGAATTAGTGGTTTTATGTGGGTTTCAGGACCTGTTGTTAAAAGTTTACTCCATTAAACTATGACTGAAAGTATAGATGCTGAAATCGGAATTGAAGGTCATATTGATCTTTAATTGAGCCATACTTTCCAAAGTGCCTCCAAATTCCCAGCTGCTGAAGAAATGACTTTATGGTACTAATTTTGGTCCTTACAAGTTCAAATGTGGTTTTTTTTTTTAATTATTACTTCATTCTAGTTATTGATTTTATGAATGTAGTGTGTGAAACTCTTATCTTACACTAGCTGAAGTCCATTTCTTTATGCCAGGAATTAACAAAAGTATGCCTCCATGACTTACATGACAGTTCTTGCCAGCAGAGGCTAATCTTGCATAATTCTTCTGCAAAATCAGTGCCAGAAACCTGAAAGTTTTAATCTGTCCACAGACTCAGATTTACCAACTAACATTTATCCTGGAATTAATAGTGTCAGCTGGACCTTAAAATACATAATGGTGTGTGTACAAATGCTTTAGTTTAAGCTTTGTAACAAAATCCTTTTCCTTCTCAGGTACTTTTAAGTTTCACTTGTGTAGCTATGTGCCAATGCTGCAGAGAGGCCTGGAATTTGAACATGTGTTAGACTTGGTGGAATACTTTATGAAATTTCTTTTTTTTTTAAAAAAGTAACTTATTTTTGAATCGTAGGAGAGGTATTTGAGATTGGTTTTAGCAGTTTTGTTTACCTCTCTCTTCTCAAACTTTAGGATTCCTTACCTTCTTACTTTGTTGATTTTATTTTATTTTTTTTTGTCTTTTATGTTGTTTCTAAATTAACTACTGTCAGCAGAAAAGGCTGAATTTTTGAGGACAGAATACTTGGTATGTAAAGTTAGCTACTGGCCTTAGAGCCAAAATAATTCAGTTTCTAAGAAGCGTTTAAAGAAAACTGTAAGGATTCCTATTTGTTTCTGACTGAGAATGCCTTTAGAGAAAGCATGCCTTTGTGTATGCCTTACCTACCCATTTTTCTTCTGCTTTATTCCCTCTTCCTTGTATGGATGGAAGATGTAGGAGTGAGACACTGCTGGAGATGGTAGAAAAGACTCTGTTCTTGAACACTATGATTTCACAGCTCCTTTACAAAGATTGCACATAGGGACCCCGTAAAAGTTTATCTTTTCACCCTTTTCTCAGGAAAGATAACCTACACACTCCTTATTTATTGAACTGGGATTAATAAATTCTGGACTCTTCTGGAGTGATTATTGCCCACTAGACAGGCCTCGCATTCTGTGAAGAAACACACTGTTTTTTCATGTCAGAAAATAAATGCAAAGTAAATGTCTAAACTGCTTGCTTCTAAAGCCTCTTAGAGTAAGGGATCAGTAAGTTTGGATGCGTGCAATGTTTGGAAAGGATGTGAGCCCTGAAAGCACTAGAAAACCCAACAAATTAATTCTTTTTGCTCCTTTTTGTGTTAACAGTAAAACAATACTTTGGGTAATGTATTGCTGCTGGGAGATACCATACCCTGCCATCTTCCAGTGCTAGGGTTATAAAAGGTTATTTTTGAGAATTTAAATATTTTAATACCTGTAATTAAGTCAAATTCAACTTTGTATGGTTAATTCTCTAACAGCTTTACTATTCACATCTGGTCTTATTTGAACAACAGTAATGTTATCTAGAAACACATGCTGTATGTGACTCCAAAAGCGTATAAACTCTCATTATTGTGAGAAATTTGGTACTATATCCAATCTGTGACAGGTTTTGCCATCTTTCTAGATGGTATGGTAAATTTACTCTTTCACTCTCTGTACAATGACTTATGACTACAGATCAGAAATAGGATGTATCACTATACAGATGAATTATAACCAATAACTTCTTTTTCCTTAGTTCCAAAGACAGAGAATGTTGAAGATCCTGCAGCCTTTAACATAAACTTAGTGAAGTACCCTTGTAATGACTTCAGAAAACCCAGCAGAGAAATAAAGATCAATAGGAAAACTGCATTTGGAACTACAACTCTTGTCTTAACAGATCTTGGTAACAAAGATGATTTGAGAAATGATACCCAAATATCCGATGGACACTCTCAGTGTGTTGCTTCAAAAAGTAATTGTAGACACATACAAAACAATGTCTACCAGTCATGGGGAAGCACAGCCAAGCATTGCCCGACACCTGTAACTCCTATGGCTTTGTCCTCCTGTCAGCAACCTCTCTCTTTCACACATGTACAGAAGAAACAGAAAACTGATCATATATCCACAGTTCACCAATATAATAAGGCAATAAGGTATGTATTCTAAAATGTAAACAAGTCTTTTTATAATTCCAAAGATCAACTTTATCCCTGAAGATTATTGGAATACTATGCTTTTGGGTTCAGACACTGTTGTCTTTGGATTTCTGCCAGAGGTAGATTATTCTTGGGAAACTAAAATTACAGATTTCAAAAGCACTGAATGACTTAGGCTGTCATTAGAAAAGTCCTGATTTTGTCATCTGGCCAGTACTGCTCTTAACTAAACAGCTGTTCATAGTTCAGCTATTCCTATGGGATAGAGCAGTATAGCTCTAATAGGTCAAGTTCTACATAAAGAGTTGTCTGATCTTAGCACTGTAGTTGCTATCTGCTTAGAGAGATCATTGAAATCATCATGAAAGATGACAAAAGGAAGGTAGCTGAATGAATATATTCCAATTAAAGTCATGTCAACTAGCAGTTCTCAAAATTCTTCCCATGGTATGAAACTCTATTCAGGTACCTTAATGAACCTCCCATCACTATTTTCTCTTAACTTTCCTTCCCATTCTATATGTAACTACTTCAGTGCTCTACCCATCCTGAATCTGTATTTACACAGCCCTATTCAGACACATCCATTGCCTTGTTAAGAGAAGCGTGAGAACCTATTAGGGTTGTCAGAAAGTTGGGCAGACATACACAACAGCAATGGGACTGCAAGATAGATGTCACTTAGTGGTACATTATTCAGGGTGAGTGTGAAATATTAACAATATGCTACAAACTTCTTGGTGATGTGTCTGTTCCGAAATACAGAAATTATTCCTTGCAATGTTGAAGCACCAGTTTTGAAAAAGGATCCCAGTGGCTAGCCAGGTTAGGCTGTGTGAATATACTTTCTCCTTGCTGTGGCAGTAGACAGCTACAGAGAACTGAGGAGGTGGGCAGGATAACTGAGAAGACAGGAGTGCAAAAAAGAAATGAGACTGTATCTATCACGGTAACAGGTAGTTAAAGCAACTTGTCACTTAAACATTAAAAAACACAAAACACAAGCAAAAAACTAAGCAAATAAAACAAAAATTAAGAAAACCCACACCAAAACCAAACGCTTGTAACAAAACCCATCAGAAAGTCTTGGGTTTTTTTTCTGTTGCTTCAATGAGGTGTTGGAAGAAAAGTACTGATGTCTGCAGGACTGCAATCTGCCAGACATAAAAGAACATGAAATTCCTAAGATGGTAACTTAACCAGAATAAATTATTTATCCCCCTCACCCTCCAGGCCTTTCTGCTATATACACACATTGGAAAGATACATTTCAGACTATCGTGTAACTGTTTTTTTTTCATGTTACTGTTTTTAGATAAAGCCTTGTTTATTGCATTCAGATAATATCTGACTATCTCAATCATAGCAAAGAAAGAAAGAAACTTTATCCCATTCAAAGAACACCCACCCTGCCTCGGGTGGATTACTTCTTGTCTGGAGCATTACTGTAATATTTTAGTAAGAAGAGTGGGAGTCTTCTGGGAAGCATACAAATACCTGGAGTAACTACTTTGTATTGGTCTTTTTCTGCTGACAGCAGGATACTCTTTTAGAATATGTCAGAATTTGGATTGGGCACTATAATAGCTGTGGTAATATTTATTTTGTTTTGTATATTACTTTAAAATTATTCAAAACAAGGGCTAATGCTGGGGAAAACTGGTGTAATACCTGCAGAAAAGCACACAGTCTTCGCTACTAGCAATCATTCAGCTTTAAAGGTGCAATAGAGTGCATTAGAGAAGTAAGTTTTCTGACTGTCGTGTGCGAAAGAACACTGAGTGAACTATTGTAATGGTAAGAGAGGTTTCTTTGGCTGGTAATACCTTTGACGTTATGCAGGTGTCATTTTGTAACCTATCATTACAGCATACCTCAAGCTAATCTGACATGATATTTATATGTTAAGTGCAGGCCATCCTCGCTGCAGCAAACACAGCCGGCTCTGCAGCCTCAGAGTTGTGAGAAAGGATGGAGAAAACAAAGGCAGGCAGTTTTATACCTGTCCTCTACCCAGGGAAACTCAGTGTGACTACTTTCAGGTATGTATAAGATTGCAGGGCCTGTTTTCTAATAAGCACTTGTTCTGCAGCCTTCTTGCCCCAGTGATCTGTATTTGTGGACAGATGTGATCCATTTAACGTTTGAGGTAATTTTAAATACTTTTGCACACTGAACTGAAGCTAAAAGCATAATAGCAGTTACAAAATTATAGTTTTAGTTACTTCTCTTCCTGCTAAGAAGGCCCCTGCTTGTCCAAATGTTCTTTATCTGCTTCCAAGTGATGTAAAATAGATGCATAGCAGAAATGTTGGTTTGAAGGGACTTGTACAAGTTGTTCAGATCATCCTCTTGCTTGAAGGAGGACTATGGCAAACTCTAGATATGGAAATCAGACACATTTCTGTCTAGCCAAAATCTTGAATATCCAAGGATGAAGATTCTGTAATCTGCCTGGGCAACTGCTCCCATTGCTGCACTAATGCCTAACCTGACCTTCCTAGCTGCAACTGGTGGCCATTGCTCCTTGCTTTGAATGTATGTGACTGAGAAGAATTTGATTCAGTCACCTCCCACCAGATGAACTCCAGACAGTAATGACTATTGTGCCTTTATTTGAAGAAAACTGTGTGTTAGCAACATTTAAATTTAAACCATTTAGTGTGTGCAGTTGAGAGAAAAACCTAAAATCAGTGATCGCAAAAGAGATAAAACTACTAGGAGGAGTTTCCTCTAGGGCTTCCCCCTATAGATCTGTTTCTATTGCCAATTTTAAAATAAGGAATTCATAGCCACCCTATATGCCAAAACTGTGCCTAAACCTGTTTCTTTTGGCAGTGGGCTGACTTGGATTTTCCATTTTGTAACCATGGCAAGCGATCTGTTATGAAGACTGTCTTGAAGATCGGTCCCAATAATGGAAAGAACTTCTTTGTGTGCCCTCTTGGAAAGGAAAAACAGTGTGGCTTTTTTCAATGGGCAGAAAATGGGCCAGGTTTGCAACTTATTCCTTGATGGCCAATGTTAATAGTTAGCTGCTCCTCAGGATGTTTTAAGTGCATACAACTTGCCTAGTCATTTTTCCATTTGCTGCTTCATTAGTAAAAGAGCTCCAACAGCATAAAGAACTGCAGGTCTGGAAAGAGTCATTTTATGTAGTCCTGTAAAACTTAAACGCTGCTTGTGTGCTGCATGCTATTTTGCAATAATCATCTAGCTTGCAGTATATTGTAACATACTGTTGTATTTCTAATTAAAAATTGAACTTTCTTTTTGCCTATACATGTCATTGAAGTTTGTCAGCACTGTATACTTTCAAGCACGTGATTTACAGAATCAATAACTTTAAATTAGTATTTTAAAGTGGCAGATTTTTCCACAAGTGTAAACATAATAAAATAATAAAAGTTAATATAAAGAAAACACACTTGTTTAAATACTTCATGCTTTATTTACTCAGAGCTTAAAATGAAACAGCAATGGACTGTACACTTCAAATGTTAGCATAGTTGAATGTGTGACCTTGCTTAGGTTTAGAAAAAGACAAAAACTGCCCTAAAATTAATAATGTGACTCTGCAGCTTTCCTAATTACATATTTTAAATCCAGGTCTTAACAATTTATTCTAGTTGCTACTAAATTTTTTTCTGTCAATCCATCTGTAATGCACAATAAAATCATACCTCTTTGTAAATATTTCAGAATTAATTGTGCCATTTCTGAGAGGTAACTGCCTTTTATTATTTATTTTGAGGGGAAGGACTACTTAATTTTCCTGAGAAACTTGTGGAAGTTCAGTCCAATTAAATCTTCCATGCCATGGTGCAAGTGAAACCGATTTCTTGTCCTAACCCAACACAAATTTAGAGGCTTTTTTCTTCATCTTTTCAGTAGCCTTTCATACCTCTGAAATCTTTTAAAATTTTCTTATGTGAAGGAAATCTTTTCTAATTAGATTATAGAAACCATAATCCTTATGTTGCTCAGTGGCCTCTTTCCAAAGACTATATGTATCTTTCATGAAGCCTATTATTTATAGCAGGGTACAGAACTCCACCTGAGAACAAAACAAGCTACTTCACATGGTAAAGACTGCCTTTCCATTGCCATCTTTTTGTATGATGCTTCTTCTAACAATGCAGTGTCACTGCTAGCTTGTGCTTATACATCTAAATCTTTAAAACCCCTATCTAACCAGTTCCTCACTTGTATTTGTACAATTGATTACTGTGATAGTGTTTGATTATTTTTAAATTGTACATGCTTTGGATGTTTTGTACAGGGATAAATCTTCAACAGTTCAGCTAAACATGAAAAACAGAACAGAATTATCAGCCATTTTTGATCACTTGCCTGCCACAGATGTTAAGATCTCACTGAAGCTGGAAGTTAAGTAACTTTTTCAAAGTTTGACACTTCAAAAATTAACAGTTGGGCTGTTGTCTTTTTTTATCTTAACACCCAGACAAGATGTGAATATCCACTTACGTACGGCACATACAAGTTTTAAAGGATTAACTGCTTTTATTAGATACTGCAATCACTTCCCTTTTTCTATTCTTACATTTCTATAACGGGTGGTATGGTTTTAAAAAAGAAGTGCATAAGAAGTATAAAAGTTAACTGGGACAGTGGAGCAGTGATGTATAAACTTCATTTACCCTCTGAGGATGCAAAATCTGAATACTTCATTGAAATGAGCAGTATATCCTGCTTAAACTAAGGAAAAGTGTTTAAAATACAATAATTGATAAAATCAATACGTCATTTTCCCCAAAGTTTGTATACATTAAAAGCATTAGAAATAACTTACATTAAAAACAAAACTATTACAATAGCAGAAGCTTCACCTCAAATAGGAGTTGTGTTTTAAAAAAATGACTTTCTGTATTGCCTCATTTCTGCTACTTTCAGCCTAGCTACAAATGTTAGCATGCAATAACTTGTATTTACTATCTCAGTTGTAATGTCATAGGCTAGCACAGGCTCTATCCACTTGAAGAAACCAGAGCTGGCTGCAGATACTATTTACCAGTGAGGTTGCAAATCAGAGATTTTTATAGTCTCTTGATTGTGCATGAAGTTGAAATAATACAGGTTAAGAATTCTAAAAATCTAAATCTCTCTGAAGATATTTCAGAATGGTTGCATGACTGAATGGTATCACTATTTTGGACAAAGGATTGTTTCAGGAAATAGGTACCTTATAAATTCAGGCAAGAGACATCATCTAGCAGATAAAATGTAAAATGTTTGAGAGGAATTCTGAAATGTGTAGAAATAAATGTAAGAAGTTAGAATAAGGCAGGAGCCACAGGGCAAGGCATGGCTGTTGAAGAAGTGCAACATGAAAGTTTTGATTGTGCAGAAATGTTTATTTCTTAAAACTTTACATGTAGAAATTAAGATTACTGCGTAACACTCAACTTCTGGAACTAGTACCTCTTCCCTAAACCTTGTGAAAGTAGGGTATGCTAGTATCAGTGGGAACTGCTCTCTTACATTACTGAGGCTATTATGCCACACATTAAGTATCATTATAAATTATTAAATTCTAATCTCATGTCTTCTCTATAAATACCATCCATTTAGGCTATGAACTTCTAAAGTTTATAGAGTGTGTTTCCTTGGATGTCTGTTTTGAAGAGGTGACATATTTATATCAGCCTAAATTTGCTTAGAATATAACCTGGTTGTATAATATCACAAGGTGAGGAAAGGCAGAAATGGAAATAACTGAGGGTAAGGATACCTTGAGCTTATCACAGAGAACTAGCATGTGGAGGAAACTGACACATTTACACTCCAGAGAAGTAGGAGAACTCCAGAGAAGTAGGAGAACTCCAGAGAAGTAGGAGACTAAGCAAGAGACAGTGAATTCTGATTCACCAGCTGCCTCTGCAAAACTTACTGCTTTTGCAAAACCAGTTTCTTTATTTCTCTTCTTCTTACAGAGGCCAGCACTATGTTTAGTTGTTTAACAAGCTATGGCTGACAGCTGATCATAAAAGGTCATAAAAGGTTTTGATAAAAAAAAAACATCTGGCAAGAAAACTTACCTTGTAACACATCCCCCTCTCAACCTTTCAGAAATAATCTACAGCCAAGGGTGCAAAACTGCAGACAGTTTGTGAAAGAATGTATTGTGTTTGCTCATGGTAAAAGTCCTGATTTTCAGCTTCTGTCCTAGTAGTTATAAATGCACTTATTTTTTCACATTGATTCATCTATTACAGTACAAGTGATGGAACACACATTTCAGATTCATATTTGGTTTACACATTTTAATGGCTTGTGTTGCATGCAATCAACTGTGGAGGCTAAAAGAATAACAAAGCCTAAGTTTATGGAATCACAGAATGGTTAGTGTTGGAAGAGACCTTAAAGATCATGTAAGTTCCAAGCCCTCTGCCATGGGCAGGGACACCTTCAACTACATCAGATTGCTCTAAGTGCCATCCAGCCTGGCCTTGCCTTGAACATTTCCAGGGATGGGGCAGCCACAACCTCTCTGAGCATCCTGTGCCAGCATCTCACTACCCGCACAGGGAAAAATTTCTAATGTCCAACATAAATCACCCTTCTCTCAGTTTAAAGCCATTCCCCCTTGTCCTTGTAAAAAGTCCCTCTCCAGGTTTCTTGTAGGCTCCCTTTAGGTACTGGAAGCTGCTCTGAGGTCTCCCAGAGCCTCTTTATCTCCAGGCTGAACAATCCCAGCTCTCTCAGCCTGTCTTCAAGTTAAAAGAGGGATCTGTCTATCCTAACCATTTTCTGTCATTTATATTCCTTATGAAAACCAATGTCAATGGCTTTATTAAAAAATACAGCCCTTTTTAAAGGCCTCAGGGTTCTGATGCAGCCTTGTTACTTTAACCTGTACCCATCTGCAGGAGGCTAACCAGCTATTTGTTAGAGAGAAATACATTATTTTTGTATAGTTGTTATATATACATGTATAACTATGATTTAATGGCCATGCGAATTCAGCAATTAGATTGAGGTCTGAAGCAACAATGGTCTTATGTCAGTAACTCACTGAGGGATAAATAAATTTACACCAAAGGTATGCACTCCGGTTTTGAGACAGGACTATGTCACAGCTGTGACTACAGACTTTTACAATTATACAACTACTTCTGCACCCACATTCCTGTATAAAATGGTGCTAGTTGTCACTTGTTTTTCTGGAAGGGAAAAAATGAGTAAGATTTAGCTTGATGCTGGAAGGGGACTTTCAAAGAAGTGGGACATGCCATCCTTTCCTTGATACCTGTATGAATGTTCATTAGAGGCTAAGTATCTTTCACATGGAATCAAAAGGTACTGCAAAACCTTCCATGGACTTCGCAGCAATGGTAGGCTTTTTCTCTAAACAAAATCCCTAGAAAATTTAAAATTCTTCAATATCTTTCTTGTACCCTTCTACACTGTGCAATTTAACTTGCCATCAGCTCTGTTTGTACTGACATTTGCTGACGACAGCCGGCGTTCAACATCTGGCATAACATAATATGCTCCATGTCTGTCTTTTCATTCCTCTAATGCCTGAAAGGGTGTTTATTATGTCCAATTTTAACTTCAACATTCAAAACATACATTGAAAGGCCATTTAGAAAAGTGTGGAAGTGTGCTATACTTTATTTTACTGGAACAACAAAATAAAATCCAATTAAGGAGAGAATCCAACGATAAAATTATTTTCCAGAGAAAAGCTTATTAAAAATGCAACAAGCACACTTAAGGGTGAGTGGAACTCCAAGTGTACACAGTATTGTGTAAACACAGTCAGTGCTTTAGTTATTTAACTTACTGAATTGCCACTCCTGTACTAAGTACAGGTTCCTGCAGAGTTTGTATGCTTTATAATTTTTATTATAAAATCAACTTCAAACAACATGACTGTCTTCTAGCTATTAGTTCTGTGGTATAAACATACTGTGAAGAGATCCTAAACACTAGTTGTCTTTTAATACTAAGTTTCGGGCGAGATCCAGAGAGTTGGCAAAGAGAGGCCTCTCAGAAGGCACTGATGAGCAGCAGAGCCCAACCTAAAGATCAAATAAAACTGTGTAGATAGGAACTCTGAAGGGAAAAGTGAAGCAAGAGTTAGTGTTTTGGCAGAAGTCCCATTTGCCTGGTTTGGCTACAGATGGAGCTGAAACCTAAGTCCTTCCTTCAGATGTCTGTGTGGTCTTTTACATGAACCTCTCTTACACCATTTGAGATCAACTAAACAAATTAGCTGCAATCCAAATGCTCTGTGCTCAGATTAAATAGGTTTTAACCTCAGATGATGAGTAAATTCAACTAGACATTTCACTATTAGAAACTGGCCTATGCATAAATATTACCGACAGGTCCATGCTCCAGCCCGATTCCAGCCAGCTCCAAAAATACAATACTTGAAGTGTGCCTTACCACAGCAGCTTAAGCATCACATCTTTGGACAAGAACTCATCTGTGTTCCACTGGTTTGTAGTTTATGCAGAGCAAATGCAGGTTTTGGAAGAAATCTGCATTTACGTCCTGCACTAGGCAGCAACTTCAGTGGAGATGCCCTCACATTTTGATCATAGGATCCAGGAAGACAGATGGGGCAGATGTTTATCGTTTCCTATAAATGAAAAACTGATTTCTACATATTGCACTTTTGACAGCATCATATTTCTCAGAGGGATATATTCACATATTTTTAAATCTAGAAAGGATTACAGTAATCATCTAGCCTACCCTTCTGCAGAAACTAGGTGGATTTATTATGCTCCTTTAATCAGTTTAAGTGTATTAATGTCCACTCATCTTCCTCCAGATGCACTTAATCTAGAAATTGTTTGTGGTTATTTCCTTCAAACGTAACTTCTCTCTCTCATTCTGGCCCAGGAAATACTTGATCATAATGACAGTGACAATAACGATCAGACATGCAAAAACCCTTCATAATTTGTTAGAGACCTTATGGAAAAGGAAAAACAAACCAGCACTTGAAACAGGGAAATGTGGGAAATATATTTTAAGATTTATCCAGAAAACACAATGCAGCACCACATAGAGATAACCAGTGTTGGTACCCCTAACCCAGTTAGGTAGCATTTGCAATGTGCTTTTGCTCCAACTACCTGACTCTGTTGAAAAGGTAAACATTGGCCTAGGCTAATACTATTTCCGTTATTGTCAGGCTAAAACTAATGTCCATTAAGAGCAACTAGAAAAAAAACAATGCATGATGTCTCATAAAAATAACTCAGACTACATTTCTCAGGGTATAAATAATTACATTGCAACAAAAACCTAAGTTTTTTATCAGAAAGAAACAAGAA